TCTTGGAAAGGTTTTCGATAATGATTTTTTTAAGGAGAAGATGCTATTTCGTGCCTTAAATGAATATCGTAATATAAAAAAGTTTTATTTCTTTCAACACGTTTCAGATTCTCGTAACAATAGACTTATGTTCGTTTTCACCATCAATTCCTAATTTTTTTAGTGACCTCTGTTTTCATAGGGGTCTCTTAAAAATTAGGGATTGATGGTGAAAACGGGCATTACTTACTTAATTTATAGGACTCCTATTTCATTCAAGTAACAAATTAACATTCTAATCGCAGTGATCGATTCAACTTTAAACTTACAATTAATACCACAAGCGGCAAACATGGCTTTCGCTGGAATCAACTTCACTCTTGATGTCAAAGTTTAGTTCCTACCCAAAGTCCAACCAGTTAGAACTTCGTCGATACGCGTGCTGTTAATAGAACATTTGGCAAATGCGCGCTGCATCCTGCAAGTGATTGAAACTCCATTGTGTGAGTTACATTCTAAGTCGGGCTAAACGAGCTTCCCCTTAATACACCGCTTAGTTAGGGACTCAATCAAACAAGAGCTCCGCGAATTTAAGTTCACCTCGGATTAAGCAGTGCCTAGTGCTTATAAGATTTGCTGGTGGATTTGTATGAGTTAGGGTCTGGAATATGGAAATAGGGGTATGTGATTTTTACATTTTTATCCTTTTTGTATTGTATTGACGATAACACGTCAAGCTAAATCAATAATGTAGTTACGTTTTATGTAAGTAGTTGTAATGATATGTGCGATTTTGCATCAACAATGTAATTGTAAATTAATAATCATGTTGAAAATAAAACTAAGGTTACTGAGAAAGAGTTATTAGCAGTTATTCTATTTAAATTGGACTGGGTGTATATTGAAAAATGTAATTACTTGAGCATATCTAGATACGTTGTTTGAACTTGTCTGGTACCTACTCTTATTGATGAATTTTGATGATGATTTAAAATAAATTTTAAAAAAAGTAAAAGTATTTTATTTGCCAACAAAAGATTTACAGTTTATCAGTAGTTTATCTAGCGACTGCTGCACTAAGCTGTGCTTGTCAAATGTTATTTTATTTCTACTCCCATTGCAGCGCTAATCAGCCTGGAGCCTGTAATCTAGCACCATTACTATGAGCCTTAATAAGTGACCATTGATTGTGTAAGTACTAAACTTTAATGGAATATCAATCCAAGACGTGCTACTAAAAGCATTCAACTTGACTCCGCAACAATCTACTCGTACTCGTATATTCAGCTGAGGTCGAATCTGACGAGATTTTGAACGATTCCTGGCCCAGATCCAGGAGTCAATTAACGACCGTTCCACGACTTCGGCAATTACTCCTCATTTACGCTGGAATACCTGGAGTAGGTGTTCAGGTGTTGAACGACTCTTCAGCGTTTTTGGCGCGAGTCGCCGAAGCAATTTGTAGGTAGTTCGCGCCGATCACCGTTGCTTGTGCAAACTGTTTTGAATAATTGGATTCGAAGTCATTAGCAAGCGGTGAAAATCCTGGATAAACTATTTGTGTTTCCCAGTGATGAAAAATTCCATGTTATTCCAATCCATTCCAGGAATTATTCCATTTTCAAGTAATTTTGTGAAATGTTGTTTAGCAATTAAGTATTCCTCTTTCAAGATTGAAATAACTTTAATGTAGGTATTAGGTATTTATATTTGCCCTTTACGATCTAGATTTGAATATTTAGGTAGTTTCTCATTTAAATATTCGGTAAGTTTACATAATTGAATGTTTAAGGCTTACCTACAACAGCTGCTACACTGAAAAGTTTCTTTAAATAGAAATACATACAAGAAGAAACATCCAAAAATCCTATGAAACTTTCGCATTATTTTAGGGTGAGGTAAACTCCAAAATGACATGTTTTTTTTTCCAAAAAAAGTGTAGAGTATATTCCAATAAGCTCTTCATCATTTCTATAGGGCACGAAAACAATATTTTCATCACAACTGACTTGAAGCAACCAATGCATTGGTTACCTTATTATCAAACTTGCCAAAATTTCTCTGGCAAGCGAACAAAACCAAATCGAGGCATCCACAAAGGTGGAGGCAGGTGACCTCGATACGATATTTTGTCAATAGAGTAGGTATTATCTCACTTCGAACAAATCACAAAACCATATTTGAAGATAAGTTTGACAAATGAACAGAAAACTATTGTAGCCGATCGCTGATATTCAATATTAAATTGTTGCCACAAAAGGTTGTAAGGTGACCCTTCTGTAACCTATATTGTTTACCTTCGTCCATCGTGATTTGTGATTATGAAACTCAAATTGGTTAATAGAAAAGTTATTCCATTCTATTAGTTGCTTGATAGTGTTTTATTATTTACAAGCTTTTGTCCGCGATTTCGCCTGAGTTATAATAAAATGTAATTAAGCCAAAATAACTAAAGTTATGTTGTATCTGATGTATAAAACCTAACATTTTAAAGTTTTATCAAAATCCGTCCAATAGTTCAGCGTGAAGTACAATCAACAAACATCTATCAACCTAACAATTTCGCGTTTATAATATTAGATCTTTTTTTAATGCATAACAAGGCAGGCATTTGACCACAATCGCACCTGATATTAAGTGGGATGCAGTTTAGGATGGTACACAACTGCCCTGTAAGTGCCTATTCACTCTGGCCCGGATAGACTATAGTCTTCGGGATCTCTAAATGATAATATGGTAACTATGGTTTGTATTACTCTCTAGTGATGAGTAATGCATTAAAATGCTACAATATTATTCCTTTTACGAATTAATTACGTCATTAATTTCAATTTTGCCAATTAATTATCAGGAGCATCGTCCAGCAACTTGCGGGTGGCAAGTTTGGATTTACTACGTCGCCATATGCCGCTAATGTCTGCCTTGACGGCAACTCGGGTGATCTATAGTAAGGCGTCATGGACCCCGACTCCTCAACTTGGTGGGAATTCCGCAAACTTGTACCTGTCTATTTGTAAGTTCGCAACTCTGCAGCAGATATGCTGTAGCTGAAATTATTTTAACAATCTTGATATTAGGAATGGAACTGCTAGTGACGTCTTAGTCTGAGGAAACTATGAGTTTGTTAAGATTATTAAGCTGTTTTGAGCTAGTTTATCCAAAAGCTCAGCTGCTATGGAAGTTAATGCTGGACAATTGAAATGATGATTAACTAAATTATTACTATTGCAAGTATTTTTAGGTGTATTTGTATTGAAAGACCGCCATAGTTCAATTTGATTTACTTCTTGTATTCGGTTCGAATTCGGTCTATTTCGATCATCGCGATGTTTCAATTAACCAGTTTAACATTAGATTAATTCCCTTTTACTAGGGTAGAATAGCATTTGTTTTGAAAATTGGCGTCCATAATTTTCTGAAATTGGCATACTTAATATTCTTTCTTTCTTTTTTCAGCCAAATGACGTCCACTGCTGGACAAAGGCTTCCCCCAAGGTTTTGCACAATGAACGGTCCTGCGCTGCCCGCATCCAGGCTCTTCCCGCGACCTTTACCAGATCGTCGGTCCACCTAGTAGGAGGCCTGCCCACGCTACGTCTTCCAGCCCGTGGTCGCCACTCGAGAACTTTCTTGCCCCAACGGCCATCGTCTCTACGAGCTATGTGCCCCGCCCACTGCCACTTGATTTTAGCAATTCTGCGAGCTATGTCGGTTACTTTGGTTCTCCTGCGGATCTCCTCATTTCTGTATATATACTTAATATCCTTGCTTAGAATACAGGTGCAGAGTACACTTCAACATACTTTTCATTCAATTAGTAAATACAAGTTCATATTATTTTTCTATTTACATAACTAGATATTACACTGAAATGCAAGGGTAAACGCATTAAAAGTTTGCTCTATCAATAATGTGTCGTCTTGTTAATAAGAAAATAATGTACACAAGTACCTATTTATTTTACTCTATTCAAGTGAAACGGAAGCGAAGTACTTCCTTCGTAATGCTGAAGATATTTATATCATTTACTTATTAAATGATTCACGTTATGACTACAGTGTACTCGGAATACAGGACACTGTTATCAGTTAATGATAACAAGTTATATATGCTTCGCACTTTTATTTTGGGTTAATGCAGCGTGTTAAAACTATTATTTTTATACAAACTGTATGCCGACTGATTTATTTAATTTACACATTGAAATGTTTTAATTCACATTTATTAATGGAAAGGAGTTGTTGCTTTAGAATAAGTCGCGTACTTAAAAGTTGAAGTAAATTCATGAAAGAACAAATAAATACATATACAGATTCTTGAGTTTGTTTATGAGTCATAGATACATGTGATTCAATATAGGGTACTCAATGGGTTTCGGTTAAGTCTAGAGCACTGTAACATAAAAATAGTATGCCCATTGTTTTACTTTAATTATCAATTTTTATAAAAAATAAATATTAAGTACCCAGTCATTATCTTTACTTTATCTTTGCTACACAGGTCAAGGTCAAGTAAGTAATATGTATCTTACTGTGCCATTCGTTGACGACATAACATTTAAAAAAAAATTATATTGACGTGACTAACAAAGCTGCATTTGACACTCAATGCGAACAAAGAACTCTTAGGCTGAGTTGCACCATCTAACTTTGACCGTAACTATAACGAAGATTATTGGCGTTAGTCAAAGTTAAAGTAAGATGGTGCAACCCAGCCTTAAATCATGTAATGCAACCATGTTCAACGCATTAATAACTAATCGATGATATCACAGTACTTACCCATAGGATGATATTGAAGCAGAAAAGTGTGTATTTGATGCAATAAATTTGAGACTCCAGTTTGCCCACAGCTGGGCCTGTCCCTTCACCCCTTCCTGCACCGGCCATCACTATTTCACTATCACTTTCACAAATAAAAAACTAAGAAAATAGTGTTGTCCACTCTCGCACTCGATTGAACCGTAACTGGGAGTTATCGCTAGATAACGATTCATAGCTAGGTTATCTGTGTTTGCGCAGATAACAACGTACGAAAAGATAAAGCTTTTGAATTGCCACACCTGTTTATTGTTTTAGACACCACGCAACGCGCCATTTGGTGTTCTTTGTCCGATTTAGAACAGCTTCAAACTAACGTCAGTGAGGGCGCCACTTCTAAACAAAGCTGTCAAAAATCAATATTTTTTGTCGTCGTTCGTCATGTAATGTAATCATGTAATAACTATCACAGTACTTACCCATAGGATGATATTGAAGCAGAAAAGTGTGTATTTGATGCAATAAATTTGAGACTCCAGCTTGCCCACAGCTGGGCCTGTCCCTTCACCCCTTCCTGCACCAGCCATCACTATTTCACTATCACTGTCACAAATAAAAAACTAATAATTATAGTGTTGTCTACTCTCCACTCGATTTAACCGTAACTGTGAGTTATCACTGATAACGATACATAGCTAGGTTAAATCGGTGTGTGCCCAGATAAAAACCTACGAAAAGATAAAGCATGAATTGCCACACCAGTTTCAAATAAACGTCAGAGAGGGCGCCACTTCCAAAGAAACCTGTCAAAAAATAGAATAAAATTTTATTACTCATTTTTTTCTTTGGAAATACTTCTAATGGAACTCATAATAAGTGCTTACACAACATCCAGACCTTAATTAAAATACCTTGATATTACAAACTTTACATAAGCTGAGTTGTGCCACCTAACTTTAACAGTAACGGTAACCTAACCTAAACTTTAAACCTAACTTTAAGGTTTAAATAAGATGATGCAACCCAGCCTTAGAAAGTAAACCGAACACGTAATGCAGTAAATAAAAATGGATAGTTCAAATTTTACGATGATCATAAAATTCAATATTAGACTATTCATTTCATCCATTATCTATTCTTTTTATTAGGACTCTGCTCTTGAGAGTAAAAATTTCATTTTGAACTCCGTGTATTTACTTCTTCCTCATAAATTTAATCTCTCTACAAGCAAGCCAGTAGTCTTGGCATTATTTTCACTCCACATCACATCTGACATCCGCGAAAATATGTCTGGAATTCTCGTCTGGATTTTTGCACAAAAAGTTCCTGAGACTGACGGACGGTCTTTACCAAAGGGGGCTTACTGGAAATAAGTATTCATTTGTTCAAAGAGTTACTCGCTGTCAAGGAATCATTTGGACCAGATAAATTGGGTTGTCTCTTCATCGTTTCTGCTTTGGATTGAGTCCTTGTATTATATTGAATTGTTTGAAGATTCACTTCTTCCTTGTTTCACTTAAAAAGGAAATACTTCCTTGTACTGATATCAAAATGTTACTATTATTTTATACAGAGTGTAATAGTCACAAACATTTATGTAGAATTTAGGCATTATTATGAAGATGTATTATTATTTCAGAAGGCACTAACAAATTAAGCTCAGCGCTATCAAAAGAAATCTGACTCCAAACTTGAAAACAAACAAGTTACATCGAAACAAAAATAAAACTTTTTATTTACTGACCATAAACCTGATACGAGACTGATAAAACATTTTAGAATGGTCCAAAACAATGGCCGCAAAGGTGCAACTGATCCATTTAACCGCGATAGCACCCATAAAAGTGTTTAAATGAATTATTAATAAACTTGAGCCTTTTTATTTCAGAAGCGGGTCTGGTTACCTGTTAGCAAAAACTTCGTACATACATCTGAAGAGCCATCTTAGCTGTCCAGGCAGAACATTCTTATTGTATCCGAGTTTTTTGCGGGATCATTCCGATTCTCGCAGCGTGCATTAATTTTGTAAGGGTGCGCCACTCTTATAATATATCAAGTCCTACGATATGGGATTCGACCGAAACGTGTTTGAAATCCGATAAACGGATTCAAACTATATAGGAAATGGCTGCGGCCAGTATAAGCTGTAAACATAAATAAGGAAGATGTACGACGTTTTGGAAAATCCCCACGCATTGGGTGTATGCCGTTAATCGAAGTCTTGCTTGGCATACATTTTAGAGTTGGTAGCAAATAAGTCTTTAAAACGTTCGCAATATGTACTTATTTAGATCTTGTAAAGCTAGAACGGACACTCTTGAGCCCAAAGCATGGCTTTATTTGGAGGGGAATAAATAACATTATGTAACTAGATACTGCCATTAAATACTTTGCTTCACTAATGGTGAAAAAGAAAATTTGCGAATAGTTAAAGGAAGAAAAGGTACGTAGGCTTGTTTGTATCAATAATTTAGTTACTGCGCTAAAATCCGTAATAAACTTTAATTTAATACAATAACAAGAACTTAATACATAATAAATGGGCGGGCATCAGCCAAAATTAAGAGTAATATTTCACCCAAATGGACTGACATACACCCAACTTAGTTGTTTCCGAAAACATCGTTGGTAAAAATCTCGTCATAATTATAGTCGTAAAAACTTGAAGCAATAGTTCGGACGTATAAAATGGCTGTAAAAACTTCTGAACCAACCAGAGCCAGGAACAATTTATAGGCGTCTCGGTACAAATAAAATCACACCGTTTATTCCGGAACAGGCCGCAACAGGCCCTTTATGTAAAGTTACGATTTGCAAATTTACTTTTGCCTTTAGGACCACTATATTATTTCGTTACGGTGCTTTCTGTTACTTTTTGGGAGAATTTATTTAGGTCTTACTTAAGCTTTAAGCGTTGTACTGTATGCGTAAAGAGACCGAAATTAACTTTGAACCTTGAATTAATATACGTTTTTTGACCATAAATCTAGCCTTTAAAATTAAGGGTATAGAACTTATTTATAACCCACATAAAGAATAATAAACTGGTAATATTTCGATTTCTATGACACCATAGAAATAAAATGACGTGTGTATAATCGAATAGTAAGTCAAACAGAATATTCTACGAAGTAATTTAAAGTAATCTGTGATACCACAATGTTTTGCTTTATATGTGAGACTGTTTGTTCAAAGCTGTATTGACATAGAAAGGTAGGCGTGCTTTAATTTCAGAGAAAGTACAGTACAAGTCCTTGCAATCCTTTCTTAATTTTTGTCCCCATGTGCAGGTATTCCTGATACAATTCCTGATACTAGTATTACTAGCTATTAGCAGCTTACGAAATAGTAAGCATTTCAGGTCAGCGGATCGATCTTATTTACAATAAACTCCAAGACGCTCAGCTCTCAGACGCTAAACTCGGGCGAATGCAAATCGTGCAGAACAACGATGTTTATTGGTATGGAAATAGCGCCGTATTGGTTCATCAGCACTATATTAAACTACCTCAATGACTTCCTTTGAATTGACTGCTTAGATGAAAGATCAATCCCTTTCAACGGGAATCTAGAACAAACACATTTCAAATATTAAAAGCTGACTTTCACATTATTAGAAAATATACTACTGTTAAATTAAAAAAATTAACTATAGGCAAATTCAAATTCGAGTCAGTGCGAGTTATGCTAATACAATTTATGTGCATAACATTATTATTATTATTTTTTTCATCACTGATGCTTGCAAATCATGTCATGATGTTATGTTGCGAAAATAGATGAGTAGACATGTAATGATAGTTCTTAAAATAAATGACTGCGGTAAAAATATTAAAATATCCACGATAAGGACTTTTTCTTTATAACCATTTCCTTAAAAGGTTTGCCATGGTCGTAAAATCCATGACCGATAGCTCAGGTCGGTCGCCCAAGACGCTAAAAGCCTTGCAAGAAAAAAGCCATACCCATTTTAAAGACTTGAGCAAAGCAAAGCATAGTTCAACACAGGCTGCGTTTTCAATACGGCTCTCCGTGCACTCTCACTTGAAATTAATCTGCAAGAAGCCACTGCGGTGACTATTTACAAAGCGTCCCCGGAGCGTATTCCCCCTTGGCTTCCCATTCTGCTTGCGAAATGTACTAGGGCTGATGCCCTTGGTGAGGGAGCTAGGTGGGCTGAGAATGCTTTTGTTAATGAAAATTGTGAATGAAAAGCAATCAGCGAAGAATTTTTTGCGTAAATGGACCGGCTCTTGATCGAAATCATCTTACCAGGAAAGTAAAAAAGTGATCTGTGATGAAGCGAGCTAACGCAGAAGATGTTTATGTATTCTTTAAGAATTTATTTCGGGAACTATAGGAGTTCAAAAGAAATTCACTATTCGGGTGTTTGTTATAAAGTTGATATTATAACAAGACAAAATCTAATTATGTTAAAATTTGTTCAAATTCAGACAATGATTTTCATCATGCTATACCATTCGATTCTGATACAGAACAGCAAAGTTCTAAACTACATGGAGAAGTCATATGAAATCAATATGTGCAAAAATAAGAGGTATAAACTACTTTAGCTACTCCTCTTTATTTGAAATGTGATATACCTACAGCTACACTTTACAAAATTATACCTTCTTACATAATGTGGAGTGTAACAATTATTTAGGTCACAACTCTAATGTCATACGTAAGAATATAAGGCCTAGAGACGCAACCATTCAATGCTATAAACTATAAATTACCTATTCCAGAAACTACTAGAAAGATCGACAAAAACCCAAGCTTATCACGTAAATACTAGCTTCAAAAATTTTTCATCGCATATATTATATGATCCCAAGTCGAGGGTCTTCAAGATTTAGTTATATCCCGTCAGCCGCAGCCCTGCACGCTCGTAGACATGAGTAAATAATTTCCCTGATTACCGTGCGCCGTCTTCGTGCGGAGTCGTCGACTCGACCCGACAAAAATATTAAACGCAGTATTCAGAAGGCGAGCGAGATTGGGACGCGTTATTCTGGAAGTTTCTGGAAGGTTTACGTCAGTGCGAGTTTTGGATGACGTTGTCAGTATTATTGAATGATGATATTCTTCGTTTGCCTGTTTCAGCCAAGGATTTTCACAACGACCGGTCCTGTGCTACCCGCATCTAAGTAAGTAAATTCAAATTCAAATTGTTTATTGCATGTCACATGGGTACTATGTACTATGGGTACATGGGTATGGTAACTTCCCCACTGAAAGAAAACTTGCGAGTATTTTAAAACAAGAGTGTTGACCGGTTTCGGTCTCTGCAAACTATGGACATGAAAGTCCATAGTGGGTTTGAAATTGGAACATTCATTAATTTTAAAATGATAAGCACAGGACCGGTTGT